ATCGAGGTAGGAGAAGTATCCTTCACACGTTAGCTCATGATCTGGAATGTCCACCGCACTACTGGAATCTCTCTTTTTTCTGTGTATGCGAAAACCCATGGAAAAATTTGAATACCATTAGAAAATAACCCACAGAAATAGAATGACAGAAAATCGACTTTTTCTGTGGGTTCACCGTCAGAAATAATTTTTCTGTGGGTCTCACACGCATAGAAAAATTGTGTTCATCCAGATTAAAACTAATTTTTCTGTGTGTTAGTCCACACAGAAAAAAAGAAATAAACGCACAGAAAAACACATGTTTTTTCTGTCGGTCTAGTGAACTCACAGAAAATTTTATTTCGCCCAGATTAAAAATAATATTTCTGTGCAACCAGCCTCACAGAAAAATCCATACAGTAATGAAGTCTACAAACACGGCTCATAACTAATGACTATCATCATATTTCATCATACATAAATAGTATCATTTAGCCATGCATAACATGTTACGTTCAGCAATCTCAATACATATAATCAGCATGAAAGTTGTTACATATCATTGTTGTTCATAACAATGGACTCAATGTTTCAATGTCATTATACAGTTACAAAACACAATGTTATTGAAACCATATAAACAAAGCACGACTACTGATCAACATATCTATAATATGTTCTCAAACTAAGAAATTCCCAAAGCCTCCTGCAAAAGACCATTTTTCATTAATTAGAGTAATCTTGTGAATAGGAAAAAAATATTCAGAGGTAAAGAGAAAAGTAATTTCTAATAGACATTGAATTGAATTAACCATAACTCAAGATATATAGTGTTTAGACACTAGTCCACAAATTTCAATAAGTTTATGAACCCAACCACAAGCCAAGCTAAATCTACAGTTTAGTGTTTAGACCACCCTTTTTATTGGTGGGAAAAAGGCTATTGGGCTAACAAACGTGTCAGCAGAGGAGAAAGCTGTGAGCAAGATAACAGGAGACAGCATGCATGCAAGGATTACACTATTATAAAGAAATAGATATGCTGGTTTATTCGTCAAGCATGAATTCAACTCTAACACAATGAACCCTCCATAGCAATCCAAGTACTTCATGTGTACAGACTAATGGAGAAAAACAATGGACAAAACTGAAAGACCTAATACTTTTCTCCACTAACTCTAATTAGAAAATCAGAGGCACATCATTTTGGAGATGAAATAAGAAATATGCCTATTGTCAACATCAAGAATAAATAAAAAATAATTATAAAAAAAAACTAGTTCAAATGAGAATACCTAAAGACAGCCAGCCATCAGTATATTTGTCAGTCAAACTGTACCATAGACACACATCTAATTAAATAGGATGTACATTTCATTCTCAAGAAATGAAAAGAGAGTTACAGTAGAAGAGTGATCTGAGCACTGCATCCCGCTATATATTTACAAGGTTTACTCTTGAATACATTCATAGAGTTCCTGTTGCAAGGTTGTCATGTAACTTTCCATATCAAGCAGAAATGCAATAACATGGACACCATAAAGAGAAAAACAGATCAGGACATGTGGGGAAATGCCAGGGGCAAAAAGACATGAGAAGGATGACACCCTGCAAACATGAGCACATAACACCATCAGCATCCGGAAAATTACAACTAACAGCAGTAGCAGTCGGGTAACAGACAGAGAGCTAGAATTACCAGGACAACGAGGGCAAAGGTGAGCACGGGAGGCGAGCGTGACTTGGGGAGGCTTTGCTTGGAATGCTGGAGATGGAATTGGAAGACCAAATGCCAAGTCTAATGCAGGATCCAGTTGGGGTGAGAAAGATAAGATGGAATGCTGTGCCTGCTGAGAACTCACAAGGTATTGCTCAATGGAAAGAGACAGCAGATTCTAGTAACAAGGACTGGAAAGCAGATGGATAGGGTACCAAATCTGGTAACAGGAGCAGCCAAAGAAACAATCCTGGGAGACCCCAAGGAGACCGGATGAGAGGGGTCCACCTCCACCAAGACAACGGTTTGAACATTCTTCTAGAAGTTGACCATCTCAAGAAATTTCACATTTGAAAGTATTACCTAAGTTTCACCTAGAGCAAAAGAACAAGAGCAAAAGAACTCGAGAAATGGCTCAGATTTATCCATTATCAGCATAACAACTGCAACTTAATTTCATCTGGAGTTTAATTTAATTCTCTCTCTCTAATGGGAATTGAACTGGCCACAGAACTGGTTGCTTGTACTGGTACAAGCCATCCTAGTTAAGCATCAAACAGAACAAAATATCCCAAGTACCAGCTCATAAGGTGCTAAAGCGCAGAAGTTCTCTAATGGAATCTTGATTCATCACAGCCACTCAAGAGTAGTACAAAACAAAAAAAGTCACAAGGCATAGTTAGGGAAGGGGAGAGCAGCGCGGCACGAGACTGTCAAAAGATATTTGAATGCTGTAAATATTACAGTAGAAGCAGCCAAGCAGGCATGCATACTCGGGGAAGGAAAAAAACAACAGCAAAAAAGCCATCAATCCCAAGCATGCTCATATTAATCCTAACAATTGAATACTGATTATTGTGGTGCTCTAGCACCTTCTACTAATCCGAACAATTCGGTTGCTGAAAGATGATAACTGCTAATTGTTGTGCAATAACTTAAGAACAAATAACCAGCAAGATTATGCAAATAAAATTGAATGTTCTAGCACTTTATTGAAGGATAAATAAATTACCCAAAACAATCTGATCCATACTTACAAAATTATGCAAAAAAATTAATAGTGCACCTACAATCAGACGATATACAGGTCAACTAGAGCAAAAATGAAGTGCACAGAATATCTTACCAAGCCACTATAGTCAGGACTGCAATGACCTACAAAAAATAAGAATCATGACGGTTATTTTTGGAGCATTGATTGCAAACAAACATTTTGATAAGTCAGGACTGCATTCCATGATCTGACTTGCTGAATGACAATAGTGCATACTTAGAGAACTGTACAATAAAAATTAGTTTTGTAACTCAGCTCTTGATTTGCAGTGTTGCACAAAGTAAAAAATATGGAATTGGAAAGAAGCACACTCCTAATAAAACACTAAAGCCTAGCCTTCTACAACGCATATATTATTCACTTAGAAGACCACAAAACCGGTTGTTAGAATATATGTGACTAGCAACTATTTCAGAGGCACCAATACCACTACTGCCCAATACAGGATATTTGTAATTTTGAAGGTTCCTGATCGTGGAAAGGTGGATGGAGATGGTGGGGTACCTAGCAGTGTGGCGCTTTCTGCCACCAGCAGCCTGTCGCTTTAGTGTCGTGTCTGCAGCACATGATAAAAAAATATTGATATCCAACTTTCCCCACTCGCTTATCTTTTCGATGATTAAAAGACTACATCAATCAGTGAAGCCTAACAGTTGTGCATACTTAACAAGAAATGTACACTAAAAACAGTTTTCGAAGCCAGATTAGTATGGAACTTGAAATAAGCATACTCCTGAAACTCTAAAGCATATCTATAGTGTTGTGCAAAACACTAAAATGGTCCTAAGGACATGTGTAAACAATGAATTAAGATTCATGCAAATAAATAGTTAAACAACATGCTAGCCTCCCAAATCTTATCAAACCAAATATTTTTTTCAGTGCTGTTTTAGCTAACACTTGACAACTTTTATGCATGGAACTTGCTACTGCAGCCCATATCAGGATATATAATGGAACAATCATTCATGTGCAGCTCTAAAAATTCAACCAACAATTTCAGAGCAGCTATAAAGTGGCTAACTATAGGCAGTAGAAAAAAATGCATGTAGGACGACAATCATGTGCTATTGGAGAAATAAAGAATTCATGTTGACTGCACATTACATACCACATCTAATTCTAAAATGAGATTGACAATATGATGGGATAATTGCCAATTTTGACAGTGATCTTAGCCTTCAATACGAATTTGACACTAAAAAACTTCAAACTACATAGAGTCGATATCTTACCATTGGAGCACACAACAAGCCTATATCCAGAATGTGATCAACCGGATTGGAAATGAGTGTAATCAGATCTGCAATGTTGTGCAAAGTATGGAATTAAAAAAAAAGGCCGCCACCGGCCTCCACCGCCAGATCCGGGAGAGGGTGGGGCGACGCCGGGGAAGAAGGCCGGGGAGGGGCGGCGCCGGGGAAGAAGAAGGTCAGGGAGGGACGGCGCCGGGGAAGAAGAAGGCCGGGGAGGGGCGGCGCCAGGGAAGAAGGGGAGGGGCGACTGCAGGGAGGGGCGGGGCGCTAGGGGCAGGTCTTAGGGGGAAGAAGGGAGGGGCGCTAGGGTTGGTCAAAAGTGGAGGAAGAAGAAGGAGGGGAGGAGGGGTCACGGAGGAGGAAGAAGAAGGAAGGAGGGGGTGTCGGGGTTGGTCAAAAGGAAGAAGAAGGAGGAGGGAGCGCCGGGTTGGTCTGGCCGCTGGTTCGGGTTTTAGGGGCGGAGGAAGAAGAAGGGAGGGGAGGGGCGTTGGGGTTGGTTCGGAGGAATTAAGGGAAGAAGAAGGGAGGGTACTGCTTGTTTGAATTTTTCTGTGTGTACGTATATTTTTCTATGCGTTTTTTAAGAACCGACACAATAATTTGTATTTTTCTGAGAGTGTTGATTTTTTCTGTGTGTATATTGTCACACACAGAAAAATCATATATTTTTTCTGTGGGTTTTCGTATTTTTCTGTCGGAATATTTTGGAACCGACAGAAAAATCGCAATTTTTCTATGCGTACCGAAAAAAACGCACAGAAAAATTAAACACCCACAGAACAATTCGAATTTCCAGTAGTGCCGTGTAGTTGCAGAGGAGCTGCGTTAAGGTGAAAGGGCCAAAGTCTGCCGATACAAGCTCTGGTTCTTGGTTGCCATAAGTACCAATGTTAAACTTGTAGATGCAACGCCGGCAAGAGGATAGGTCATCGAGAAGGAAGTAAGCGCAGTTGGCCTCCACTGTTGGGAAGCAATCGGCGTCAACGACAAGGCATCAGACGCCGAGGAAGAGAGCTTGGCTACCGATGCTCTCCACCCTCTCCACCACGTTCCAAGCAGAGTCAACCTTGAAAACATCCATGCCACGGCGCCGCTTCGAGATCGCCAGCATATCCCCGCCGGCAGCCACCACCGCGTAACAACGGCAGTCCTTGTCCTCCTCGGACCGAAACAGCTGAACAAAGATGTTCTTGGCACCAGCAGGAACGGGTTTACGGTTGACGGCAGCGGCAATCAGTGGGAGCCTGCTAGCAGGATACCTGCGGCTGCGGTGCCTCATCTCGACAGAGAAAGACTCGCTCTGGGGTTCCGCCCAGTACACCCAGCTTCGCCCGACGGAGACCAAGACCAGAGTAGGCGAAGAACCGACCCGCACGTCGGCAGTGAGCCGGAGCCGCGGCCGCGGCTCGCTCGGCAGTGGCGCCGCAAAACGGATCAGGGAGCCGGTGAAGGGGTTGAGGACGCTCACGTCGTGCGGGGGGTCCGTGGCCGCCAGAACGAGGAGGCCGTCGGTGGTGCTCGTAATGAAGGCGTGGCCGGGGTCGCGGAGGAGCGGCAGGCTCCTGTGGAGGAAGCGGCCGGTGGCGGTGCTGACGAAGAGGAGGGCGCCGTCGTCGACGTTGATGGTGGCGGCGGAGGCCTTGCGTTCATCCAGCATGATCCAGCGGCTCAGACGGAAGCGTGGGTCATGCTGGTTACTCCCGGGGTCGGCGGTGACGGAGGGCCAGTGGTGGCAGACGGCGCGCAGGTCCGTGTAGCAGTCGAGGTCGTTGGTGGCGAGGAGGCAGTCGGCGACGCTGTTGACGAGGTCCGCCGGAAGCGACGACCAGCCCTGCGCCACCATTTCCTCGGCCATGTGCTACGACTGAACTTTGGGTTGAACCGTTGATGGTTTCAGTGGCCTGTGCTGTGTGTCGTACGCCTATGTTGTTGTTGGCTTGAGGTGGACAAAGAGATCAGGGAGTGGCGCTGGTGCCTAGGCATAAATAGAGGAGAGCAACGAACAGCCGAGCAGCGGGAGAGGAGCTGCTGGGCGGCGGACGCAGCGCAGGCAATCGTTTGGAGTTCCGAGTGGAAGAAAGGAGGAGCCATCTGCGTATTGCATGCCACTATGCGTCTATGCCAGTGCAATTTACTGTTCCCGTGCTGCATGCAGTTACTATTCCTTAGAAATTACCACGACGCGCCTCGACCCTCGGGGCAGTCCTGAAAACCATGCGCGAGCTCCAGCTGCACCACACCGCTCCGTGGCTGCCTGAACACATCATACAAAGCGGCTTTTTTCAAAATAATATTAGTTAAATAAAAAACTGTAGATCTATATGCTGGTATTAGAAAAATTGTAGCACTAATCGTCCATCCAAAGGCCGATAGGAATTATGGCAATTAAACCTCTGACAGGTCACGTGTTTGAGTCTGCAGATGGGCATGGACCTGTCGGCTTACCAGAGGCCGATAGGTAGTCCACCATAGGCCATCAACAGATCATGACACGAGACCGCAGGAGGCAGGAACCTGTCGGCTTACCAGGGGCCGATAGGTAGGCTCACCATGGTCATGCCCCGAGCTTACCAGCGGCCGATAGGTAGTCTACCATGGACCGACAACAGGTCATGTCACGAGTCCTTAGCTGGCCAGGGACCTGTCGGCTTACCACGGGCCGACAGGTAGGCTCACGATGGGTACCTATCGGCTTACCAGGGGCCGATAGGTAGGCTCGGTCATCTCACAAGTCCTTAGCTGGCTAGGGACCTGTCGGGACCACAAAACTGGCATCCCAATGTGCATTCTTGCAAACATGGAATAAGATGTAGCCGGAGTTCTGCCAGGTGCCCAGGTCCATGTTTTCTTCTATGACCAAGCTGCAGTTTTGGGCTCATGCTTGACTGCTTGTACATCGGATAAAGTTACTGACAAGATGTGGCCGAGTAGTCCAAAATTGTAGCAACTGATTTCTTAAGAATATCAAATAATGGGTTTTCCATAAAAAACATTGAGCTTATTATCGGGCTTGAAAAAAAGGACAGTTTTTTTTAATAAATGGAGAACTACATAATAGTGTGGTGTGTCCAAAACACCGGGTACAAGATATCGGTGGAGATTGGAGAGGAATTTAAAGGCTGGATTAGCATGAAATTGGGGTGGAGCAGCAAGAGGAGCAGGGGAGGAGGAGGAGACAGACTAGAGGAAGACAGATGTTCTGAATATATGGATTAGCAGCATGTTCGTTTGGTCGTAAACGATCGTTGATTATAAGTCAGAATAATATTTTTCTCTCACACCAAACCAACTAGCAGTAATTTTGGCTTATAATCCACGATCGTTTCAGCCGAAACGAACAGGCTGTAGCATGCTAGGGCCATCAGATGGGCCATAGGCCGTGGCGTAGCTGTTGCCCGTAGAACTAGGGAGAATTTATATATTTTTAATCCTTTTTAATTCAACATTTCAATAATAATCGCTCCTAAATTTTTTTTTGCGGAATCTGACCCTTTTGTTCGCGCTAGCGCCGACCAAATAACGTTATCGTGCCACATGCATTGGCGCGGCAACATCTTCTACGTTAGACGGCGTTTCCGACGTGGAAAACGTTGTCGCACCACCGAGAGTGGCGTGACAAGACTGAAACTTTAAAAAATCATAACTCTTTGATACGACGTCGGATGAAGATGAAATTTATATGAAAATTATAGCTCTCGATGAGATCTACAACTTTATAGTTTTGAGTTTTTCATTTAAGAATGTTAAGATGCTCAAAAAATAATATAAAATTTCAGGAGCATATTAATCGCGTACTAGTGCTTATCGCATTAGAAAAATAATATCGTTTTTGTATGGTGTCAAATGAAGATACATTTTATATCAAAGTTGTAGCCCTTAGTGAAAACGATATTATTTTTCTAATACGACAAGCAATATTATGTTATTATTATGCTACTGAAATTTTATATTGTTTTTTGAGCATCTTATAGACTCCAAATGTTAAAATTCAAAACTATAAAGTTGTAGATCTCATTGAGAGCTACAACTTTGATGTAAAAAGTATTTTTATTTGACACCACACAGAAAAAAATATTACTATTTGTCTAATGCGACAAGCACTAGTACGCGGTTATTATGCTCCTGAAATTTTATATTATTTTTTGAGTATCTGAACATCCTTAAATAAACAAAATTTAAACTATAAAGTTGTAGATCTCATCGAGTGCTACAATTCTCATATAAATTTTATCTTCATCCAACGTCGTATCAAAGAATTATGATTTTTCAAAGATTCGGTCATGTCACGACACTCCTAGTGACGCAACAGAATAATACTGTCACGTGGCGTGACATCGTTTTCCACATTTGAAACGTCGTCTAACATGACGGATGTTGCCGCGCCAATACATGTGGCGCGGCAACGTTATTTGGTCACACCAGCAGCGCTGGCGCGATCAAAAGGGTCATATCAGCAATATTTTTTAGAAGCGATTATTATTGAAATATTGAATAAAAAAGGATTAAAAATAAAAAAAGTCACTAGAACTGACCGCAGGAGGAGTAGAGGAGAGCAACTGAGATGGGCATCGATTATTCAGAGACACAACTCTGTCTCACTCCTCTAGCATCTCTGCTTCCTCTACCTCAAGCTACCGTACCCACCTGTGTTTCTGGAACCTTCTAGAGGTTGCTCTGTGTTCGATTCCCTTCTCTGCTGCCACCTCCGAGAGTGTAGCATCTCTCACAGATTTGTATTCTGAATTCAGTAGACTATCTGTGTTGTTGCAATTGGATCGTGGAGGGAGAGTGTACGCTACCAGTCTCCTCCCTTTGTAAAACAAAACTTCTCTCATGGAAGGAGTTGGAGCTTGCTATACTATATACATGCCACGTGTCACGTAAAGGAGAGAGGTCTCTCTCGGCTCGGATTTGGGAGAGACCGGGGTCTTTCCAACCGTCGTCGTAAAAGAACTAGTAGTAGTAGGCCATATATATACAGAAAAAAGAAAAAGAAAAAGAGGCCTCTTCCGTCTCGTGGAAGGATCAAGCGTCGCGCGCTTGAAGTCGGAGGAGGTCTAGCGGCGATAGTGCTACCGTTGCCGCGCCGCGCCGCCGCCCCTCCCCTTCCCTCTCAACGGACGGCCTGACAACAGGTACAAACACCATCCTTCTCCCTCCCTCTCCCCTTCGATTTTCCTGTGACAGCGGACTCCTGAAACCCTGATCATCCAAGTCTTACCCAATTACATACTACATACATATTGACATCCCAAAAACGAGGAGGGAAAATCTGAAGTACTGAACTCAAGTCTTAGCTAGGCATCCCTGATATGGCTTCAGAAATCATAAGCTCTATATAAATGACGTACCCTGAGCAGAGAGTTCCCGCTATGTGCGGGGTCTGGGTAAGGGTGTTAGTGGCAAGCCATACCCTCGCCTGTGCAATGCGAGGAGACCGCGACTCGAACCCGGGACCTTCCGGTCACAGGCGGTAAGATTATACCGCTTGCATTGTTTTATTTCAGTTTTTTTTAAAAAGAAAAGAAAAGCATGGATGGTGTATGTGTTGTAGCAATCTATTCATACCTTGAAATGCATTGTAGCCAATTCACAGCAAAAGATTGCTCGTAGGTTATCTAGAGAGGCATGTCCATTCCTCTGTTGCAAACCTGTAGCCCTTAAAGGCAGTGCCCTGTTGAGCAGGCGCTGCCTGACGCTAATATCATACCAACTATAAGCAGGGAAGTGATAAAATGCAGTGGCTTACTTGATAAAAAAAATAGTTTCAAAAAAATTCAGGAAATCGTAAAGGGAAATGAGCTGCTAGCTTAACAGCATGTTACACAGAGCAGCTGCGTCTAAATAAACACTGAAAACTCCGCTTATCTTGGTATTACTAGTTTACTACCACATTACTGACTAACAAGTGACTTGCCTGCTATCATGCATTTGTGAATGGTGTCCTTTTTAACCAGAGAAGTCGAAATTGTCAGTTGGCACAGCAGAGCGGTGCAGATACCGATGTTTAATTTGTTCCCAACACAACCAGAAATGACATCACATTGTTGTTACTGCTGCTAGTTACAGAACTGAGCATACAAAATGCTAGCAGTTACTGAACATACAAAACAAATATTGCTACTTCTAGTTATAGTTAGAACTTGGAAGGTACAGTACAGTCGTAAACTAATATCTATGTGCTAATGTCCTGCTAGAAACATACATCCTGCACAAAAGTAAGAAGGCCTAAGTAAGCTCATGCCTTTCAGTTGTTCAAGTTTTGAGGGATGGATTTATGACGTTGCTTTACTGGTTCTGACCCACATTTTGCATTCTTTACTGCTTCGGCACTGAAAATATGCTGACAAGTAGTATGGGTGATGACTGATGAGCTTCTCCCAATAAGCTTGATGGGGAATACAAGAGCTGAAGATCTCACAAGAAGCTTAGAGGAGAACAAAAGAATTTGCAGTGGTGGAGAGGCAACTGCTATTGATTTCAGGTTTGCTGACCCTTCCCTTTTTACGCACATGATTCTTACAGCTCCATCCGAGCGCTCACAGCCATATTGTATCATGTTGCTTTAACTAGGTGCCTTTCTCCCGGGCTCAAATCAATGTGTCAGGAAGGAGCTCAGTAAAGAAGTTGCATCAAATTTGTCTTAAAGTGTTGTGTCTCTGTCTTTTAACAATATAATGGTGAGTATATATTGGTTGTTTTCTTTTTATGTAATATCGAAACATGATGTCTTTTGCTAGGATGGTTCAACTTCGGCTGTGTTAGGTCGACCTCCTTCGGCACTCGATAGAAGCGCGTTGTATGTTTTCTTTAAACTCTTCTCCTTAATACAATGATACGCAAATCTTTTGCGTA